GTCACCACAAAATATCTACGTTTTACTTTCATATAAAAAAAAAAAAAATAATTTATTATTTCATTTATATTCTGGATATTAATGAAAATTATTTAAAATCATTTAACATCAAAATATATTTGTATAATTAAAAATGTTTGAAAAATATATAATACTTTTAAAAAAAAGAACGGAGATGGTGTGACGCAGGGAAACAAAAATAAAAAAGGGACGTAAGCGTTGTCTATGATAGCTCTTTGGCTAGAAGGCTACCATAGAAACTGATATAATTAGCTTTGTGAATCGCTATGGATAATCGTTGACGAAGAAAAAAACCCTCTCGGGGTTCTTCTGAGAGTTTGCTGATTTGTGATCCTAATTTTTTGAAAAATGCTAAGGCGAGTTTGCCGAAGGTGCCAAGAGTGGTTGATATGATTGGGATGAAGCAATGATCGTTTATTATTTCTGTGTATTTAGAAATTTTAAGTTGTTCCTTCTGGTCAAGGATGTTGATGGCGTGGTTGGATGGGGCCAAGGGGTCAATACAGGAATAGTCCCATACCAAAAGTTGGCCTCTCCTCCATGGGATTTGAGAGATCCCATCAGGACGTTTACCGTCAGATCTAAAAAGACCCTGTGGTTCTAACGTGGAAGGAATTTGGGCGGATTTCAGAGCATGTTGGATGATTGTATTACATTGCTTGTGTCTGATGAATCGTCCATTGCAGGAGCGACAATGTAAACTATGTCTACCCTTCGAGTCAACTGGCGAGTTGCACCCTGAGCAGATGTGGGGGTGAGTGATGGAACAATTTAGACGAATGCCGATGGCATGGGTAAATTCATTGTTGGATAGTTGAAGCTGAAGATTGGTAGATGGGATGGCCTCAAGAAACTCATGTCCCGTACCATTGAGCAAGGAAGAGAATAGGGTGCGGTCGGTAGATTGCATGCTAGATAAGAGAGATTCAACGCAGCGAGCAACCACTGGTGCATCCCAGTCTTTCTGTTTATGGGTTGTGGGGGGATGAGAATCAGCATTGATCCTTGTTTTCCAAATATCCATAGCAACGATTAAGGAAAGGTCTTCTTTAGAATTATGGGCGGTGGTTATTGGCTTTGTCAAGAGACTACTCGATATGAAAGTAGTTGTTGCTAAGTCAAGTGGAGATCTGATGCCGAGACCACCATATTTGGTTGAAAGAGTTGCTTGGGCCCAAGCAGTTTCGTTGAATCTGATATTTACTATTTTTTCGGTTAAGTCCTTTATTCCTTTTTCGTAAGTTTGGAGAGGAATAGGATATTTAAAAATTGGAGTTGACCGAAGTGCGTAAAGAATCCTTGGTATAAAAAAGAAATTTTTTAGCAAAAAAAAGGACTTGTGTGATGGAAGAAGTGTAAAGATGTCCTCCAGTTTAAAGAGTATGTCAAGTGAGGAATGAAGAAAGGTGCTTATTGCCTCGTGTCCTCCAACAGGCGATCCTAGATGTGTTAATTCAACGCTTGATGTGAATTTGAAATCGTGAGTGTTGGGAGCATTAGAATTTAAAAGTGAGAATTCAGATTTGCTCTGGTTAAGCGAAAGTCCAATGGCTGTGCCCATTTCTTTAATTATGGTGACTGCTTTGGCAATTTCACTACTGGGACCACTCAAGATTCCATCATCAATATACCAAGCGTGGAGCGATAGAGTACATGAAGAGTTTATTGATTTTATCATGTCATTGATTCCAAGACTAAAGAGAAGGGATCCGAGAGGGTCACCTGTTGGATACCCTCAACAGAAAGTATCTTTTCTTTGTTGAATTGTAAGATTGTTGGTGATTGGTAGCAAGAGAAAAGAAATTTGGTATAAGCTGGGAAATTGAAGCAAGTTGAATGTAGGAACGTGTTGCGCGAAAGAGTGTTGTAGGCGTTAGAGAAGTCAATTTTTACTAGGGATTCGTTTTTTGGGTTATTTTCAAGGTGAATTCTTGTTAAGTGCACAGCAGCTTCACACCCACCAGGTATCCCTACACCAAGTTGATAGGGGCTTAGAATGTGTGCGGCATCGTGTTTGATTCTAGATGCGATTAATTTAGCGACCAATCTACGGTAAGTTGAACCAATGGCGATGGGTCGAATGTCCTTGTTTGGTTTTTGGAGTGCGATGAGTCTGGCACCGAATAGTAAGGGGGTAATAAAGCTGGGTACGTCTCCATTTAGGATTTTGTTGACTAAGTTTGTGATTTTAGTGAGGATTGAAACCTGTGTACAGATCACAGGAGAGGTAATGTCCTGTAAAAAAATTGGTCTAATCCCATCTAGACCATGAGCCGAATCCCGATGAAAAGATAGGATTGCTTTCCTTACTTCTTCCTGTGTGAAATCTGCTGCACAATGGGAGAAGGGTTGGGGCAATATTGGCATAAATGTTGTTGTGGGATGCTTTAATCGAAGCTTAATTAAGGTTTCTAAATTGGATTCCGCCAGAGTGTCATTGGTTGAAATGAGTTTGAGGGCCCCATTGATATTAAGACTGTCAATTTTCTTCGAAATCAATGAGGCTTTTTGTTGAAGTGGGGTTATTTTTTTTTTGTTTATGGGATGTCTGAAGATTTGGGACTCATGAAGATGAGTGTTGATGTTTAAACAGGCATCTTTTATTTGTTGAGTTAATGATTTTTGGAGTGATATGTCAGGTATTTTGAAAGTATTGTACCCAAAGTTTAAAAATTTTAACCATTCTTCTTCTTTGTTAAAATTTTGCAAAAGAGAAGATATGCAGTTGCTAAGAGATTTAGCTACTTGTATTCTCGCTCCTTTGGGTATTCTCGTTATGATACTTGGTTTTGTGGAGTTAAGAAAAATATCTGAGAATGAGGCACCAATTACTTGGTTTAAGGGAGAATCTATGAGAGAGGGGGGAAGCGAGTAAGTGATCTGAGAAAGAGGCGTGTGTTTTGAATGCGGACACCTGTTAGAGATTGGTCCATGAACAAAAAATTCTCCATCATTTGTTAAATGTATTGGTTTCATGCAGGATGGGCAGATTCTGCGTTCGTGGGGAATGGCCATAGGTATAAAAAATAAAAAAAATGCTGCCAATAATAAAGCAAAAGCACCTGTGAGTGGTCTGTTGATTGATGTGCAAAAATAGCAAAGGAATGATGAATATGTATGTCAGAAAAATCGAGCAACGAGCGAGAAAGATGCTCAATATGAGAGGTTTCAAATAAAAAAAGGTTTAATTATTAAAAATTTTTAAAATTTTCTAGAATAATTATAATTTATTTTAAGAATATATGCCATCTATAATAGTTGATTCTTCTGATGAAGAAAATTTAACCCTATATACTATCAGCAATGATTCACCCACTCTTTAAATTAGATTGGCCCTGGATAAAATCAGAGATGAATAAACAAAGAATGCAAGATCTTATTTCCATTTTGAGAAAAGATCTTGATAGAGAAAGAGCAGACCTGATTCCCTTATCCAAAACAAATACCAAAATATTTTCTGATAAAGATAAATTTTTTTTGATGAGGAAATTAATGAAAATCCTTGTGAAAATGTTTTATTAAATTTTTTTCAAAATAAAGATACTTCTTTAAATATTTTTAATAAATTCCCCGAGTTAAAATTTTTATTTATTAAATATAATACCACCCTCCCATCCTCTGCTCCAATTGAACGTGTGTTTAGCACGGCGAAGGCTGTGTTGAGCACTAAGCGCTCTTGTTTGTCTGATGAAAATTTTGAAAATCAATTATTGCTAAAAATAAATAAAAAATTATTACAAAAAAATGTTATCTTATGATTATATATTATATATGAAAAATTTTTATAAGATCTCATCATTTTATGTATTATTTTTTATAGTTTTGTCTATATTATATATTGTAAGAAAAAATAAATATTTTTGTATATAATATTTAATTTTTTTAAGTAACGAGTAATACGTTACTTTTTTGAAAAGTCAGTAACGCGCGTTCCTTTTTTAAAAAGGTAACGAGTTCTTTTTTTCCAATGTAACGAGTAACGGTAACGCGTTTCTTTTTTGAGGTAACGTTTACAGCACTACTTTTTAGTGAAATTGGTGATATTGACAGTTACCATCGACGCAGGCTGGCCTCTGATAAACTGGAAATTTTGCTATTTATAAAAAGAAATCTTCGAAATATTAATGTTAAATATTATTTTAAATATTTATTTCAAATTTCATAATATATTTGTTTATTACTTATTATATATATAGATTAATGTTATTACTTATTATATAAATGTGATTTAACAATAAAAATATTTTATATACTATTAGAATTGCAATTTTGAAAATAATCTATAACTGATCATTATAATATATTTAAATGACAACAATAAAAAAAAAAGCTTATAGTATAGTTAAATTTTAAATGTTACACTAATAAAAAGTATATTAAAAATTAAAACCATTGGTATCTTTACAGAATATAAAATTAGATATGATATCAGATCGGTAATCGGCCGATATAAATTTAATATCGGGAATATCGGGGCTTCCAGAAAGGGGTATCGGTACACCCCTATAAAATACAAAAGTATTTTGATTATATTTATATTATATGATGTAAAATTAAATCTATAGGCTTTATAAAATTTAAAATATATAATTATATATTATATGATGTAAAAACAAATGAGACGTTAAAGGGTTAATGGAAATATTTGGGAAATTTTTGCGATATTGACATATAACCAAAAAGGACACGATGTGAATTTATAAAAGCTAATGGTTTTGATCATCTAGAATGGTCAAAATATACAAATTGTCATGTTTAGAGGTTAATAATAATATTATAGTCCTTCATAATCTATAGAAAACCCTTGAATTTCGTAAATGGGTAGTTATTACATTTTCCATGAAATAAACATTAAATTTCCCTCTGAATATCTATATGTATACATTAATAAAATGTTATGAGTGGTCTTTCCAAACAAGTTTTATTGTATTATAATTTTAATGGTCGTAACAGCGTTTTAATTGTATTTAAGAAAAAACCTGTGTGAACTGAAAACTGAACTATCCAACACAATCTTTTCGAGTAATTCAATCAACTCATTCGGTAAGTCGGCGGACATAAACGCTTTAACTGTAACGGATATATCTTCAGGATCCTGGGTCTCAGATAAAGCAGTTTGGACCACCTAAAATAACAATTATTAAAGCTGCAAAAATAAAAATTAGCCTACTTGATCTATAAGTTGCCTTCTGTAAACGTTGTTCTCGTTCAAAACTGAGGTCCATAATCCCGGATCTTTTCTTTGGACTAGGTACCTCGATTCACTTTTAAATAATGAATTTTCGTTGCACACCTAATTCAGATTTTATTTAAATGATTAAGATAATTTTTCAAAGATACCTGAATCAATTCAAGATCGCAATGGCCTCTTTCGTAAGCTATGCAAGCTAAATGTGGATCCCGCTTTTCGCAATATTTACCCACAACTTTGCTATCATAAAATTGATTTTCCCTAAAAAAATTATACCTTATAAATCTTTTAGCTATGAGATTTATAAAAAACTTTAAAAATCTTTCGGGGTTATTGTTACTATCTATATATATCTTAGCAAGGGCGTTGTGTGTAGCAGATTCGTTTACGCCATCGTGAACCCTAGTCTCGAGCCATGGTAGTAGTAATTTTAATCTATCGAAAAAAAATGAATATTTTTATTAAAATAGTTAAAGCTTATTAAAATCATTTAACCTATTGCGTTTTTCTACTTCTTCCACTAACTCGTCAGTTGAAAATTGACCTCTAACAACCATGATTAAATTTTTTATTATATCTTCAGAACAATCAACATCTAGTAAACCTCCGACAACGACGGGTAGCCTTGAAGGGTTAACCTATTTTATATGAACATATTTTTATAATATTGTCGTTATATCATACCTTTTGAACGTAAATTTCGATGTATTTTTGCAAATTATTTCTGTACAAATACAAAACCAAATCATGAACAAAATCGAATCGATCACAAACAATAATAAGAGGTAGTTGATCAGTAAGCTTAGCCTCTTTGAGAAAATTTTTGACCCTGTCTGGGTCGTAACAATTGCTCTCTCTACATATTCTTTCGACCTCTTTGATCTGCCCAGTTTTACAGGCCGACTGAAAAAAATTTGTATAAATATATGTGAAACATAAAATCACTTGTATATATTTGAAGTGAACTTCGGGGTCTTGACTTAAATTAACAATTGATCCAAGAAAGTAAAAAAGGCCTTGTAATAGGATAAAATTAACAATTTTAGTCAAAACATTGTGTTTTAAAAAGTAAGCTATTATTTATTTAGTATTACCTTCGTAACTTTTAAAGGATTCAAATAAATCAATCAAGGCAGTAGTGGTTAGTTGTTCATGATATTTTGTAGCTATTTGAACACATATTTGCAAATTTTGTCGAATATTGGCTGCAAGCATAGCTTTTAAACAATCCAATGAATCTTCCACCGATAGGGAACCAAAGTAATTAACTAACCACTAAAATGTGTATATATTAAAAATAATGCATGCAACAAGGTGATTATTGGTTCTAAAATATGTGAATCAATAAAAAAATTTACATACATATGGTGGCCAAAAGAGAAGCAACCTTTATTCAAGTTCCATTATATGTGAATTTACCAATTGCCATTTGATTACTATTGGAAGTTCTAACTTAATTTATATCAATTTTAAAACTTCCCACACCATATGGTTAAGATTATAATAACTATAATTAATTACGAAATACCTTAAAATTAATTTTGAGGGGGTGGAGAGCTTATGATAATATTTTGATCCAATTTGATTTTCAATGACTGTGAAATTATCTCATAATTATCAACCGAGTCAGCATGTAAAAAACAAAAAGGTAAAGTAAAATATAGGCTAAAAATATGGTGGTAAAGTTTAGATAAATGTAAAATAAGTCTCTTATATATAATATTGAATAAATTTCGCAATATACGTCTGGATTCAATAAATGAGTGTGAACAACGGCTCGTTTTATATCGTATAAATCAGTGTAATGCTCTAGGGCTCTTTGGAGCAATCCGGCCTTCTCGCAGAGTTGCGCTATGTGAGCTCTATCATAGTGAGTGAACATTTGATTACCCAATATAGCATCCGCCACCTGCATGTGTTAGTAAATATAATAAATCATTTCTCTTACATATTTAAAAATTAATCTATTTAATAAAAAATATATAAAGATACAGACTTAAATTTCCATGCCAAATTAAAACCAATTCTTTTTTAGATTATGTCAAAAAGGAAAATGGTAATTCCATGTAAAATTACTCACGTATCAATTCATATCTTTTCTCATAAAATTTTGCTTGAAGGTTATATATTCTTAAAGTTAAATTAAATATGAAATTTTAGCTAGTTAGCTTATATATTATCTAAGATATAGTCCTGCCTGAGGTAACATCTAAAATAAAATATTAATGTTATATTTTCTTTCTATTCTTAATTTTTTCTCTGATTGATTATCACAACTATACAATGATTTAAAAAATCAACATCATATTTTTAGTAAATAGATAAATATCATTAAATTATCAAGGTTATTACTAAATATTCAAATTCAATGCTTATCAGAAAATAAATGAGTAATTTGAGTCCTCTTCTTATAACGCCATTTTCTAAATTAGTGAACCAGTTCTTCCCATTTAAACTATTATTTGACAATTGTTGAATCCCAGAGAAATCTTTCTCACCCTATTCATAACATGTTTTATTTTCTCACTAAAAATGTTTTTTTTACTTAATTTCTTAAATTTAAATCTTCATCATCCTTCAAATATTGGTCGATCATCGCCTATTTAAGAGGCTTTGGATTTTTATCCCCAAATTATTGCCTTGGATTTCTTTTTATAATTTTATTTCATCTCTCATCGAGTTAAGTGATCCATTTCTCGACATGGCCAAATAGAATGGCTTATACATGATCCTCTTCTCAGGGCCGAGTCATTAAAATGTCAAAAATATTCTTATATGATGGGTGATAACAACTTTGTACTCATCATAGTTACATTGCCTTGCTCATTTGGGCAAGCAGCTTTTAATTTTTTTTAAACGGTTTCCAAATCCATAAGGAAATAAATACACATCCTCAAACAAAACATACAAATTCTTGGTCCGAATTATTAGCCTAGAATTCCCCTTTTTAATTTTTTTCAAATTTTATAAATTTGTTCATTTTTTTAAATATTTTTCATGTTCCTTTTTAAGATAGATTTACATGTAAATTTTTTATATATTATTATTTTAAGAAAAAGATTTAAAAGTATAATAATAAGTCTTTTAAGGCAAGTTTTGATGAGAATGATAAGATGGTTAAGAGCAAAACATTTGAAATGGAATTTCATATAGCATTAAAATGAATATATCTTGTTTTGGGATCATATTCAATTGCAAAAGGACATATGAAGGCATATATAAATGACAGATTATCAAACGTGAAATTATAATAAATGAATCTTCATAAACCTATGATAGCTGATTAATGAAAACTTGACTATAATAAAAATTTGATTTTAAAAAATCTGGTACCCCAAAAAAAGTGTGATAATTATCAGTCTAATCGGGAGAATAATAGATGTTTTGGTTATTTAATTGCTTGTAACCAAGGATTCTGAGGGGAACATAAAAGATGAAGATAATAAAATGGTCTAACAAAATTTATTGCAGACTCTGAATAGTGCTCTAATTATACATAGATAATGGAAGGGACAAAAAACAAAGGGATTGAAATGTGAGTATTCTATTCTATTCTTTTATAATATCTTTGAAACTAGGAAAAATAATGGCTTTTAAAAAGAAATAGTATATTTAAATCATAGTGGATGGTACTTATGACGTTTTTAAATAAAAAGCAATGGCATTGATCGTAAAATATATAAAAAATGAAAAAACCAAAACCAGTTAAAGGCTTATTAATATATATATTGGTAATGATGTTGATACAAAAAATACATAATTTACAAACTTAATTCAATAAATCTATCCCTCCAATTCTTAGTTGAGCAGAGCTATGATGTTGGATCAAATATGCAGTGGCCCCTACAGCAAGGGAGGTATGAAGTAACTGCTTCTCAAAATTTGAAAGCAGGTGCGGGTAATCTTTTTTTAAAATATTGTACTTGTATGATGATGATAGGGTTACTTTTTTAAAAAATTAAGAAAAAGAAGGGATATAAAATAGATTAAAATCCAAACTATATTCAATCTTTTATCGTAATATAAACATACTTCTTGAAACCATGAAAAATATGGTTATATAAAAAAAAAAATTTTTAAATTGAATTTAATAGATGCTTCTCACTATAGTTTATGGTATATATGAGGCTTCTAATAGCATTGATTGTAAGGTATTTTGAAAATTGTGAAACATCAAAGCCAGTTAATTATTGATATATATATTGTACAGGTAACATTACTGGTGTTGATATTTAAAAATATAATATACAAACTTAATTCCATAAATCTACCCCTCAAATTCTTAGTTGGGTAAAGCTATGATTGTTCATCAAGCATGAGGGGAAGGATCAACGTGTATGTTTTGATTGCTGAGACCCCAAAGGCAGCTTTTATATTATACTATTGTCATCAATTATATATAAACATTGTTCATACCAATCTGTAAGGGGACTAAGAAATGTTTTGAGATCTTAGACAAGATTTATGTGTATTTCAATAGGACTAAAAGATATACAGTGCTCAAAGCATGCCAGATTGATGTAAAAATTGCAATAATTTTTACTATTTTATTAGCTCAGGGAGTGTAAGGGCTACTGCTTTTAAGGGAGGATGATAAATGACTGGGTGGCATGACTTTAACATCTTAGCATGACGGCAAAAGGTTCGCCTAGGATGTGTCACTTAATTAGTTTCCAATTGGATTTATGATCTCTTAGAAGTCATAAAAAATACACTGACGAACTTTTTTTCATCTTCTATCCCTTAATCTTGAGTATTGTGGGGATAATAAAGCTCTTTTTTAAAAAAACTCAATATGAGATATCAAAAGAAAATTACAAGTTTTTCTTTGAAAAACTATCTTATGCCGAGTATTGTTAGTTAACTGTGTTTATTTTCTCTGTATAGAAAAAACGTCTTATTCGAAAATAGCCAATGATATGAACTAGCATGGACCTGCTAGGTAAATACACATTAATAAGTAAAAACGAGATTACTTGCGGTGCTGATAAGAGATTCATTTCTAGGAGCCTGGTTTGCAAATGTGCTTCTTCTGGTTTGTCACCTTTTAAAGCATCCAATAAGAAAGCTGTGCATTGTTGAATCATATTTTGTTCCATAAAAACATCAACTATCTATAAAATTTTTAACATATTTTGATCAAAAAAATATTGGAAGATTAATAAATTGACATATACCTGATTAATATCTGCCAATAAATTTTTATCATCTTTAATCAACATTTGAGAAAATTGTAAAGCCTGGTCAGGATTATTTTTGACAATATTTCTAAGTATTGATATGTAATCTGGAGTGTAATTGACTTTTTGACTGTATAATATAATTTTTTGAAACTCTCCAGCTTCAACAAAACATAATATAACCTAAGCTCAATATTAAAGGATAACATTATAAATAATATATGAAGAAATTACTTTAGCTGGTACATTTGCTCTTAGATATATAGATAATGCAAGAGTTGGATCATAGGTTTTAACAAAATCCCCTAATTCTTCACTGCATTCCAACTAGTATTAAAATCAAATATTTTAGAGGTATAATAAATTTAGACAAAACTTTGTCTTCTTTTATCCATTTTTCAACTAATTGTTTTCTGCCCTGCTGAAGTACAGGTCTGCATAGCTCCATAGATTCAAATTTATTTAGCTTAAATTTATCAAGCAGGGTCCCAAAATACACCAACAATGGGGCAGTTTGGTTAGGTTGGGTAGGAAGTTGTTGAAATCTTTGAATAGTTTGTGGTGTCCTCAAGATCCCCTAAAAATATTTTTTAAAACATATTTAAATATAAATTTACTCACTCTAGGTGCACTAGCTGAAATAATAGCAGACTCAGTGTAATTGCCTTGTTTGAAAGCATCCTCAAATTTTTGAACAAATATATCATCTGCCCCAGGTAAGTTGTTTCTTTTAGCTAATTTAAAAGCTAAATCATAATTTTTTAACACCTTTATAATGTAGGGGATAATTGTTTCTTCATCTATACTAACTGATAAAACCTTTAAAAATATATAAATCTGTTATAGCAATTTTATTTTTTACCTGACCCTTTCTATTAATGCCCATAATTCCATCTGATGGTTCATATAATGCTGTTACAAATATAGTTTCACTACTTATCCTGTTCATGTATATGCAGGCTGCAGTATCAATATCATATATATGAATATAGCCATATTTTGTAATTAAGTATATAATCCCATATTTATTGCTTACCTATAAAAAAGAAAATATATAAAATAGTATGTATTGAATAGTTGTTTTGTTATTTTGTATATGTTTATTTTCATTGTTATATATTATCATATGAATTTGAATAACAAAAAAGTAACATATTATTTTTGAGATGAAATAAAATTGCGAGAATTCTATTACTACAAAAAATACAATACAAAAGATTTCTATATTTCCATAATTATTAAAAAGACACTACAAAAATGGCGCAGTCGATAAAAAGTTTAATGGATTCAAACTTGTGTTACAAAGAATGGTATAACTTATTTAAAGAATTTAAAAACACAAAACCAAGGTTAACATCATCACAGGAAAAATCATTAACAAAAATAGGATGTGTTACTTATAAAATATTGGTAAATTTATGCTCACCAGATATTTCAGGAAATAAAGAGGTAATAGAAATACATAACTTTTTACTCAAATTTTTTCATTCTACTCCTAAAGAAAGATATAATTTTTATCAATATAATCAAAAAAATGAGGAAAAATTAATAGACTATATACAAAATTCGAAAATTAGCAACGACTTGTGAATTTGGGGAATATTTAAATACTGCATTAAGAGATAAATTTATATTTGGAATAAAAAATCCTAAAATTTTACAAAGATTATTATCTGAAGATGATATAGACATAAATAAAGCTATTCAAATACTGCAGTAGAAACAGCGATAAAATACAAAATTAATACAAAATGATGAAACTAAAATCGATCAGTTAGAAGAGGAACATAATGACAATATAAATATAAAATTAAAAAAGTTAATAATGATAATGATAAACAATCCAAATCATATAATAATTATAATACGATCTACAAAAACCAAATCCCTTCCACTCCTGCGGCAGAAACCATAGAAGGGTAAATTGTTTTTTCAAAATGCTACTTGTTATAAATGCAACAAAATTTGGCACATTGCTTGAGTCTGAAAAAGAAATAGTGAATTTTATTAAAAATAAAACAAACAAATATAATCCAGAATTTTGGGTGAATGTTAAAATAAACAACAAGATATCAGAATGGAATTAGATACTGGAGCTGGGGTAAGCATAATTAACGAAATAGATTGGAAAAATAAACTTAATTGTCCCGGATTAACAAATTGCATGTTAAAACTTAAAGGCTATACAGGAAACAACATACCACTATTAGGTCAGACTGTAGTAAAAGTACAATATAAAGGACGAACATGAGAACTACCTCTCATAATTACAAAAGGGTATCAAAAATCTCATTGGAAGAAACTGGACAACTAAATTCCCAAAATGACTAAAATACCTGAAAGGACCATACAAATAAATAACATTAATATACAAAATGAATTTCCTCAATTATTTAAAAGAATTGGGCTGTTTGAAAGAATTTAAGGCACAAATATAATATGGAAAAAGAAACCAATTTTCTGAAAATCACGTCCTGTACCATAAGCATTAAAAGATAAAGTTGAAGAAGATTTAGACAGATTGCTAAAAATAGGAGTAATAGAAAAAATTACATTCACTTTATGCATCACCCATAGTAATTGTTCTAAGAAAGATAAAACATTGCGGAAATTTTTAAATAACTAAATCAAAATATTAATATTGATTCATACCCAATACCAAGAATCCAAGATTTATTAGACAATTTGGGAAAAGAAGAGGAATTTCCAATATTAGATGTCTCAGATGCCTCTCAAATTAAAGTGGGGGAAAAGTATCAAAAATATCTTATAATCAATACACATAGAGGATTATTTAAATATACAAGACTACCTTTTGGTATATGATCTTCTCCAGCCATATTTCAACAAGATATCGATAATTTATTAAAAGTTTTGAAGGAGGCTTGTTATTTAGATGATATTATAATAACCGGGAAAAATAGAGAGAAGCACGAAGCAAATTTAAAAAAGGTACTAAAATGTCTAAATGAAAATGAAATCAAGCTAAAAATAGAAAAATGTAAATTTTTCAAACAAATGTTAAGTACTTAGGCCATAAAAAACGGGATTACATCTACCGAAAAAAATACTGAGGCAGTAAAAGAACTAACAACCTTGAAACAATTACAGTCATTTTTAAAGTCAGCAACAAACTATTCAAAATTTATTTCAAATTTTTAAACCAAAGCCAAATCATTATACAAATTATTAGAAAAAGCAGTTGCTTGGAGATGGACTAATGAATGCAAAGACGCGTATAAAAAAATAAAGCAAGAAATAAGTAGTACTCCAATATTACAACATTATGATCTAAAAATACCCATTATATTAGCAACAGATGCGTTAGCCATAGGAATTGGGGCAGTAATATCATATATAGAGGGGGGTAAGGAGAGGCCAATTGCATTCGCCTCAATAACACTAAATGCAACTGAGAAAAATTATAGCCAAATATAAAGAGAAGCTCTTGCCATCATATTTGGGGTTAATGGAAAAAAGTTCACATTACAAACAGATCACAAGCCATTAATGAGTTTATTTCCCCCAAGAAAAGATATACCAACAACACCTATTGCCAGAATACAAAGATGGGCTTTATTATTAGGACGTTACCAATATGAAATATTCAAAAGTAGTCGACAAGAAGCCATATCTCGATTACCTGTAAAGGGAGCCCCAATATCAAAAGAAGAAACACTAGATCAAATATAGGTGAGAGAACAAACTAGAAGTCTACATTGGGCCGGGTTTCGGCTCGCCCGCCCATCTAAGTGGGCGGGCGTATGGGCGGGTAAAAAAATTTTCGAGAATGGGTAGGCGGGCAGGTTAAGAAATTTAAACAATGGGGGGGGGGGGGTTAAGGAAATTAAAAATTTTTGTTCAAAAACAAACTAAAAAAAATAATTGTTTAAATGATCTATAATAATATTTCTTTTTTTATTGTACCAATCGTTTTTTAAGTGAAGAACATTTACTTAACTATATTATGTAATAAACACAACAATAAAACTTTTTTCTTAGAATAAATAAACATTTTTGTCTATTAAAAATTTCCTTTTATGAGAATGTAATAAAACTTTTCTAGTGCTTCTTCCAAACGCGGAATTAGCATTGCTGAAAGATTTTTAGAACAAAGAAGAAAGTGGATGAATCCAGAAAATGTCGATTCATTATTATTTTTGCATTAAAATAACATATAATATTATTTTACATTTATATTTTTTTCATAAATATTCAATTTGATCAAATAAATTGTCCATAATTTACATTGATTATTTTTATACTTATATATATTTCCTAAGTTATAAACTTTTTGTAGAGGTGTAATGCTAAAATATTTTTATTAGATGCTTAAAAAATGAAAGAATGATAATAATTAAATTTTATAAGCAGGCTTGGGTTAAAAATGTTTTATAAATAATGGGCGGGCGGGTAAAAAATTTTAGACTAATGGGCGGACGGGCGGGTAAGGAATTTTAGACAAATGGGCGGGGCGGGCGGGTATATATTTTTTTGAAAACTATGGGTAGCGGGCGGGTTAAATTTTTTAAAACATTGGATGGGCGGGCTTTTGGTCCAAAAACCCGCCCAATGCTGACCTCTAGAACAAACACCTTTAAATGCAAGCGAAATTGAAAGAAAAACAAAGAGAGATGATGTACTCTCTAAAGTATACAGGTATACAATATACGGATGGCCAATAAACTATGATGCATGTTTAAAGGAGAATAGCCAAAGGAGAGAGGAAATTATAATGCAGAGTGGTTGTTTATTGTGAAGAGCTAAAATGATAATACCACAACAATACCGAAACAATGTGTTAGACATGATACATCAAGGACATATTGGATGGGTAAAAATGAAGATGAGAGCAAGACGATACGCCTGGTGGCCTAATATAAACCAAGGTATAGAAACATGGGTCGAAAAATGTAGAGAATGCCAGGAACAACAAGATATGCCTCCAAAGACATCAATTCAATATTGGCCAAAACCACCAAGCATGGCACCGAGGTGGGGGATTTAGAAACCAGTCTAGCTATTTTTCTATACAATTACAGAAATATACCAGGGGCAGAAACTAAACAAAGTCCCGCTAAAATACTACTAAAAATTAAACCTAGAGGATTGTTAGACCAAATATTCGAACGGGGGAACAAAAAGGGAAAATTAGAATACTACACTCAAAAATTTGAGATAAATGAAAAAGTGTGGTCGCGCATTTACAATAATAAAGAAAAAAATGGAAAAAAGCCATTATTAAAAGCATACTCGAATCACTACGATATGAAGTAAGTATAGAAGGGTAAAACAATTATACGTCATACTGATCATTTAAGGAAAAGAATCGAAAATATATTAACTGTACGAATTAGAAGAGAGACCCGAGAAGAGAGAACCGAAGAGAGAGTAAACAAAGAGGGCATAATAAGCAATAACGATGAAATTAATTTAAAGGAGAGGGAGAAAGAAAGTATAAGTCAAGATCGTTATCCGAAAAGAATATGAACAAAACCCAATAGATTGGGGATAAATAGTATGTATTGAATTGTGTTTTGTTATTTTTGTATTTTTTGTAAATGTTTATTTTCATTATTATATATTAATCTCTCGCAGAAGATTAAAAGATGTAATAGACTGCAAAGTCATCCCAGGAGAAGATATCGCCGCGCAACACAAGCTACTAATCATGGATTTACAAATCTCAAATAAATCCACTCAAAATAAGATAAAACTGGAACCATGCATCAAATGGGGCAAATTAAAAACAATGACAGATGCCTTTGCAATCAATGCAAACATTGAAACAATAAATTGCTCACAAGTCAGTGAAAAAATATGGACAGACCTTTCATCCAGATTAATAGACACTGCAAAATCGACGCTAGGCTTGACAAGAGGAGGCAACAAATCACTCAAAGAACTATGGTGGTGGAATCAAGAGGTACAAACCACTATACAGGAGAAAAAAGCCCTTTATAAAATATGGTACAAATCCAAAAATGCAGATGACAAGTCAAGATACAAAAAATCCAAGAGATTAGCTACAAAGGCGGTGGCTAGGGCCAAATCTATGGCATACGATGACATGTACGAAGATCTACATACCAAAGAAGGGCAAAATAAAATATACAGATTAGCCAAACAGCGAGAAAAGAACTCTAGGGATATAAACGGAGCTCCGAAAGTAATCAAAAATAAAGATGGGAAATTGATAATAAAGGAAAAAGAAATAATGAATAGATGGAAAGAATATTTTCAGGAGCTTCTCAACTTAAATTCCCACATATTGCATCTCGACGAACACTCCCCTTGTCAAAACCTTGTACAACCTATAACAGAACAAGAAATAATCACATGCCTCAAGCATATGAAAAACAACAAAGCTAGGGGTCCAGACGATATTCCAATAGAAAGCCTTAAAGCACTAGGAGATGATGGAATACATCTCCTCACAAATCTGTACAATAAAATACTTGGAAATGAAGAGGTCCCCCAAAAATGGAGGCAGAGCTATCTAGTTCCTATCTTCAAAAATAAAGGGGATCCACACAATTGTCAAAATTACAGGGGCATAAAACTAATGTCACACTGTCTAAAACTATACGAAAAAATAATAGAAAAAAGATTAAGAGATATAATCGAAATAGGAGAGACACAGTTTGGCTTTATGCCTGGAAGATCAACAACCGATGCTATCCATGCAATTAGGCAAATGAGTGAAAAATACAGGGAAAAGAACAAAAAGCTACACATGGTCTTTCTCGATCTAGAAAAGGCCTTCGATAGAATCCCAAGAAAACTTATCTGGTGGGCGCTACACCACAAAAAAGTTCCCGAAAAATATATAAGAATAATAGAGGATATGTATATGGGACATACAACAATGGTCCGTAGCACAACAGGTACTTCAGCAGGCTTCACAATAGCCGAAGGAGTTCATCAAGGGTCGGCTCTCAGCCCACTTCTCTTCATTACAGTAATAGATGTATTCGCACAGTCTATACCTCAAACAGTCCCGTGGAATATGATATTTGCAGATGATATTGTGATACTTGCCGAATCCAAGGATGAAATGAAAGAAAGGTTAGTGAATTGGATAAATATCCTAGAAACGCACGGATTAAAAGTAAATAGAGAAAAGACGGAGTATATGGTGATAGGAGGAGATGAAACGGAGAGTATTGATATAAATGATTGGCAGATATCCGCAATTGAAAGCTGCAAATATTTGGGCTCCACTATACAAACAAACGGCACAATAGAAAAAGAGATAAAGAATAAGATTAATCAAGGGTGGTTAAAGTGGAGATCTTTATCTGGAGTGCTATTTGACAAAAGAATCCCACACAAATTAAAGGGAAAAATTTACAGTTCCATAGTACAACCAACTATTCTATATAGTTCGGAAACATGGCCAACCAAAGAATCAGACGAGAGAAGTCTACAAACTATGGAGATGAGAATGCTGAGGATGATTGCTGGGGTAACAAGAAAGGATAAGGTGCGCAGTACAAGAATACTAAATAGTTTAAAGGTAGTGCCCATTAAGACTAAGTTAATGGTAAACAGACTTAGGTGGTATGGGCACACAATGAGAAGGCCTATGAACTACATAGGAAATAAAGTTGAAAGATTGGAAGTGATGGGCAAACGTAAAAGAGGAAGGCCAAAACTTCAATGGGGCCATAAAGTTAGAGCCAATATAAAGAAGTATAAAATAGATAAAAGAGATTGTACGAATAACATAAAGTGGAGAGAGATGTTGAAGGAGCTTACCACCAGAAAAGGTGAAAGCTAAAGAGAGAAAAAAAAATATATATTATCATATGAATTTGAATAACAAAAAATTAGATCTACAAAAAATACAATACAAAAGATTTCTATATTTCCATAATTAATAAAAAGACACTACATTAAATATAATAATTTTTTGCCTGCATAGCTACTGGAAAATCATTTTGAGCTTCTGGGGGAAAAAATACCTCCACATTTTTCTTTGGATATGGTTCATTGCCAGTTGGTGGTGATCCTAGCTCAATGATATGAAGCTGAAATAGAAAATAATATTAAAATTTAATTGTGAATAAAATTAAGTAATAAAAATATAACAAGGTTTAGTATTGAATTGGTTAAAATGGACTGGGACTTCCAAATATGTGCTTAGGGCATTTTTTTCTTAAACAACTCGGACCATAAAAAACCTTAAAAAAACTTCTACGAAAGAAAGATAGAAAAATAGAAAGAAAGATAGATAGAAAGAAAGAAAGAAAGAAAGAAAGAAAGAAAGAAAGAAAGAAAGAAAGAAAGAAAGAAAGAAAGAAAGAAAGAAAGAAAGAAAGAAAGAAAGAAAGAAAGAAAGAAAGAAAGAAAGAAAGAAAGAAAGAAAGAAAGAAAGAAAGAAAGAAAGAAAGAAAGAAAGAAAGAAAGAAAGAAAGAAAGAAAGAAAGAAAGAAAGAAAGAAAGAAAGAAAGAAAGAAAGAAAGAAAGAAAGAAAGAAAGAAAGAAAGAAAGAAAGAAGAAAGAAAAAGAAAGAAAGATTTCAGCTTTTCCAACTAAAGATGTAAGATTGTTTGATTATTTAGAATACAGTAAAGGAATTTTAAGATCTAGATTATTTAGAAAAAATCCAGAATTATATATCATGTTTAAATATATTATATATGCTAGTAGTGATCTTATTTTCTTGGAATAGCGGATAGTCAATTTATACATATGATATTCGTATCTAATCTAAATTATTATTTATTCATTTTGATACATATATTTTTTATATCAAAGTTATAAATAACAGATAGAAAAGTTTCCAACATTACATGTTATTTATTTAAAACAAAATAAAATTATATTAATGAATGATATCAATATTATAAAGATAATAAATTTTATATTAATGATAGTAGGAAATATAAATAAATAGATATATAAGAAAATCAATGGAATTATTTTAGAACTAAATATAATTGACCTTATATAGAAATTTTAGAATTGTATATAAATAATTATTTTTATAACTAAATACTATGCTTTCATATAATTATATATAAAGAGCTAGATTTTAATTTTCTATATACTAAGTATGATATTAAGGTAATACTTACAATATCCTGATTTAATTTTATTATTAGATATTGGTATTCTATAAATAAAATTAACCCTCTATTGCGCGACATATCAATAAACGATATAATGTTTTAAAAAAACTTATTTTTGTCTTTAAAGGGCCCTTAATAAACTAAAAGTAATTTTTTAAACCGTAAAAAAAATTTCAGTGTGTGTATTTTAAATACACAATGCGTATAAAAAGTATCATATTTTTTCAATTTCAAACCTATTACAAAATAAAGATATATAATTTTATTATTTGATAAATAATGTAATAGAACAAATTATAATAATTTTCATGAAATAATTTAAAACAATTGTTTTTTTTTGTTAAACATAATGATACACCATATTTGATACCAATCACTTCGTAACGAATTTACACCCAGGATTCTTGCATTGCGCCTTTTTACTATATTTTGGCCAATGTGCTATTAAATCCTGTCTTATTTCTTTCTGCGTAATAAGACTTGCCGGTCCCTTGCATTTTTCTTTATATTTAGTGTATATGTTACTTTGCCATAATTATCCTCAGCTTTTTTTTATAAATTTGAAGTTGTTTATTAATTATTTTTTTTTAATTATTTATATAGAAAATTGTTTTTTAAAAAAATATTTTTTTATTAAATTTAACTTTCACTATATTATTTAAAAAAAAATTTCCTTTTATATTTTTGAGGTTAGTAATTATTATTTTTCGGTGTTGTGAATGTGATAATTTAAATCATGTTGACGATAAAATTAAAAATAAAACCCATTCAGATATAAATATTTTGTTTACAAAAATAATTAAAATAACACATTTACTTTTAAAATCTTGAAAGAAAATGTTGAAAAAACCTTATTTTTTAAAAAAAACTTATTTTAATTAAAACTTATAATATTTCTAATTTGAGATAATTTTAATTTTATTAGCCGGCTAAAAAATAGCTAGATCAAGTGTTTTAGGCTAAAACTATCACTCTGGCTTTTTGGAGTTATTCTTAAAAAGATAGGGCTCAAATTTGGAAGAAATTAATATAAATTAAAATCGTCAATGTTAACGGCTTTTCTTCGGCAAGCGCCTGAAGATTGAGCTTGTAAATTAGCTATTACCCAATTATAGCAATTACACAAACTTTATGAAGATTTCACATATTTTGACGTCAGAATAAGCAGGACAAAAAGACGCTTGTATAACCACCCCCCCCCCAAATACAAACGATCCAAAAGTATTCTAAATATCCTATTCAAGCTCAATCTTGCCGAATTTAGAAACTAACGTTATCAAATGTAGTTGTTTAAGATACATTTCTAAAATTAGAAGAAAAATAAATATGTGTTTAAAAAATAACGATGAAATTAAACAAATCCGGCTAGAAATTCGTATCTAATTCTGAACTAAGATAGTATAGATGGAATTAATCGCTCGGCTTACAAACATAATTCATTTTAATCCTATTTTTTTAGTATTTCTAAGCCATAGGTGATCCCGATTATAAATATTTTAACCCTAAGCTGAGTTCCTTGCACGACTTTACTATCTAACCTCAGAAAATGTCATTGGATTTTGCTATCTATATATTTTTGGGAGATATTTTTTTATTTGAACTATTTGGAATAACGTTATTCATCTGAACCCCGTGTCTGTGGTTGAGGTATGTGCGCACAGCTGTTTAGTCGATTTTTAGACCCAAACCCCATATCTGGGTTATACAAACAACCAATTAACAACACTAGGTGGTGGGCTATGTCTATGTGGGGTAGCATAATATTGTTGGAGCAATATTTATGTTTGAAACAGGGATCCAAGCCGAAACGCATATCAGTTCGGTTCAGGTTAGGATAAAAATAAGGGTTAAAAGTTCAGGTTCAGTTCGCAAAAAATGAAAATATCGGTTCGGTTCGAACCTCTAAAAACCGGTTTGAACACTTTTGCATTCAAACCTACATTCGAATTATGTATAAGGAAGAATTTTTTATATTTCATAATTAAAATAAAAAACACATACATAATACAACCTTCATTTTTATTAATTGTACATTATAAAATAATATTTAATTTATAAATATAACAAATAAATATCAATGATTAATATTAATATGAACAATTATTAAAAAAATTTTTATAAGCCCGCAATTAATATATTTACAAAAGTCGTCTCACTCAAATTACATCTATAAGGACACATGATATAAATTTAATTGTTGAAAACATCTTCCCACACTAATTTGGGTAGCCAGCACTGCCAGTAATGATATCAGATTTGATGTCATTTATAATACTATATGTAAATAATTTATATATTGGATTTAATTTTTTCTCTAGGCATTATAATTTATAAGCTTAAAATATTTATAAAATGTTGTAAAATGGCAATATAGTAAAGTTTATAAAAATTATGACTGACACTTATCAATCAAATGTGATTGATAATAATCTTTCAAACAATTCGAAAATAATTAAAAATTTTGCAATATACTAGTAATAACTTACACATTATTTTATAAGTATCGAACCGATTCAGAGAAATTTTAGCGAATCTTTTCAGGTTCGACTAGAAATTTTTTTAGCGGTTTAGGTTCGATAGAAAATACCGGTTTTTAGCTGTTTAATGGTTCGGTTTGGATCTATTTGAAAATGTAACATGGTATATTTTCAACAAAGACATAAGAAACTTATCATATCTTACCCTAAAATAGTATTATTAGGAAACTTATTTTTATCCCTTTAAAATGAACATAAAGCAAAAAATAATAAGTGGAAATTATCTTTATCCAAAAATAGCATTATAAAAGTCTTTTTATTTAAAATAAATTAATTTAAGTTTTAAATGGATATGCTAAATACTAACAAAATAAAAAATCAATAATTATTTTATTTTTGAAATAGGCTCATTTTAGAAATCACATGACTAGATATTAGTAATTTTATTGGTTTAACCCTCTATTGCATATATCACATTTGAACACCCATACTATTAAAAAAGGTATAATTTTTAATATAAAAATTTTTACAACTTAATACGCATGCTGTATTTAGATACACACAGAGTTGTTAAGGAGCGGCGCTACATTTTTTCAAAAACACCTGAAGCGCCGCCCCTCCTTTTTAAAATTGGGGAGCGGGAGCCGGAGCTAGCTCCTTTTAGGGCTGGAGTGGAGGAGCGCCGCTCCATCGCTCCTTTAAATTGGTATCGCGTCATTACAGAGAAAAGAATTATAGAGAAACTTTTACAGAGAAAACAATTATAGAAAATGTCGATTATAGAGAATTATTTTATAGAGAATGTATTATTTTACAGAAAATTTTTTATAGAGAAAACAATTATAGAGAATGTCATTTATAGAGAATGTCGTATATAGAGAATGATTTTACAGAGAATTATTTTATAGAGAATGATTTTATAGAGAATAATTTTATAGAAAATGATTTTACAGAGAATGATTTAATAGAGAATGATTTAATAGAGAATGATTTTATAGAGAATAATTTTATAGAGAATGATTTTACAGAGAATGATTTTATAGAGAATTTTTTTATAAAGAATATATTTTATAGAGAATTATTTTATAAAGGTATTTTTTATTTTATAAAGATGTATTTTATTGAGAATAATTTTATAAATAATTTTACTTAAAGATATGATTATATTATAAAAAATTTTATATATAGTCATAGGAAAAAAACAGTATTTTACTTAATTTTAAATATTAGAATTACCTTATATAAGCGAGGGTTTTCGATTATTAGATGAATTAATGGTAGAATAAAATTTTGACATGATTTATAAGGAATTTTACGAAATTTATTTTTAAAGATACAAAATAAATTAGATAGTGTTGTTATAAGTTACTTTGACAATATAATGCAACTAGTTGAGTTAGTAGTTAAATTTTGGATAATATAACAATTCACAGTTAATAGTTTTCTTTTTTTAAATATAACTAGCCATTAGTTACAATT